TAAGTGGTGGAGAGAGGAAATAGGGCCGTCATCTTTTGACTGCACAAACCACCCTGGTGGTAGGAAAGGAAGGGAATACACAGACTGTAATCTTCCCTGTGCCTGGGACCCCATTTGCCTTCATAAGTTCCCATCACCCAAAACAGTCGTTGGCACGAAATGGGTGCTCAATACACGTTTGCAGCAGGAGGGAACGGGTGGAGGGAGGGAGGAAGGAGGAGCAGTGGATACCCTTTCTTTCTGATTCTGACACATCACCTGTACCTACAAAATGCCCAGACAGCTCACAGATGGTTTAAAAATATTTTTTTTACCAAATATTTTATATGATTGGTGGCCCCATGTACAATTTAAACCAGCCTGGGGTTATTAGGCCCAGGTTTCAGGCTCTGCCCTTTTCTTAGTAGCTGTATGACCTTGGGCAAGTCACCTGCTCTCTAAGACTCAGTTTATTGAACCAGTAAATGAGGGGGTTAAACGGTGGGCAGAAGATCTGACTAGGCACTTCACCAAAACAGATACACAAATGGACAACGGGCATATGGAGAGGTAGTCAACATCATTACTCATCAGGAAATGAACATTAAAAGCACGGTGTAATACTATCACATACTTTCCAGAATCACTGGAATGGAAAAGGCGGTCAATCCTGAGTGTTGGGAGGATGTGGAACACCTGGAACTCTCATTCCTCGCAGGTGGGAATGTAAAGTGCTACAAACACACTGGAAAACTGGCCGTTTCTACTAAACGTAAACATATGCACACCGGTAACCCCACTCCTAGACATATTACCAATGGAAATAAGAAGATATGTTTACCAAAATATATGTATAAGACTGTTTAATCAAAATGGCCCAACAGCATTCGATTCCCCATCAACAGTAGAATGGGTAAATAAGTTGTGGCATGTGTCTACAATAATATGCCAACAGTAATAGGAATGAATAATCTACAACTATACACAACATAGATGAAACTCATAAATAATGTTGAGCAAAGAAAGCCAAATATGGGCCGGCCCCGTGGCTTGGTGGTTAAGTGAGCGCGCTCCACTGCTGGCGACCCGGGTTCGGATCCCGGGCTCGCACCGACGCACTGCTTCTCCGGCC